GAGTTCTTGTGGACTCTCCCAGCTCTAGGACAAACCACAGCCTAGAAGCATCCACACTGAAAGAACAAAGAGTTTGGCTTCTGAACATTGGAACTACCCGTACACACACCACCACCACCACCACCACCATCACCATGTGAACCCCGTGCTTTTGTTTTGTGCTTCCAGAGTCTAAAACAGGTCTGCTTCTTTCCAGAAGCTTTTGTTGTAAAGATTTTCTTTGTTGTGTTTTTCCTTTCGGTGAGTATGTTTTTTCCTATAAGACGCAATGTTTAAGATAAAGAATGTTCAAAGCAGTCTGAATTTGTATTTGTGTTCAGCTTTTATGCTAGCAAATCGTTGTTCATTTTTTTATTTTCTGGGAAGGCAGTGCAATTACCATCTCAACAGGCAACAAAGTTTCCTGTTTTTGATATGCAGACAAATAAAGACCCTGCGGCTTCTGTAATTTGCGTGTGGAACTAGAAACAGAATTCCTTCTCATTCATTCACACACATTTGAGAGTCTGGTGGGTCCCGGGCTCCTGCAGGTGTTGGAAACCAGCAGTGAGCAAGTCGGCAAGGCCCTGGCTCTCATGGAGCAACGAGTCTCGTGAGACGTGGACAGGAAGTCCAGTGGGCAGGTGCTCTGTAGGTACTTAACAGGGGTAATGCGTTAGAGGGGTAGAGTGACTGCTTCACACAGGGTGTCCAGAAAGGACCCATTCAGGAGGTGACATTTGTAGATGGCGTTGATCAGGCCCAGCCTTGTGAAGGGAGAGCAGGTGTAAAGGTCCTAGGGAAGAAATGAACTGGGCATACTTGAAAAGTATGAGCGGTAGCAGAGATCTGTGTGAAGCTGGTGGTAGGAAGAGCGGTAAGAGGAAATTGGAGAGGCAGCAGGGGCCAGGGCGTGCAGGTCTTTGTGAGCCATGGCTGGGAGTTCGGAGTGTTCGTGAAGGCTCTTTTTGCAACTTGAGCTGCCTTTCTTAGCTCAGTCTTTAAATGCCCAGAGTTTTGTTCTGGTCCCCCTTCTCTTTACCCTATCATTCTTTAGATCTTCCCATCTAGGCCTCTGGCTTTAAAGATTCTATGTCAATTGCTCTTAACTCTACATCTCCAACTCTAACATCCTCCCTTCCCTAAGATCCAGACCATCCATTCACCTATTCAAAACCTACTCAGTCCTAATGAGCATTTCAAACCTAAAGTGGTTGAACACTTGCCCAGTTGCTTAAGCAATAATCCAGAGTCTTATTCCTGGTTTCTCCATTTCTGTCACCACCTCCCCCAGTCCAGGCCATCAGCAAGTCCCATCCTGAACCCATCCACTCCCCTCCATAACCACTTCTACCCCTCGGTCCAGGCCTGTATGTCATTCACTGGGACTCCCTCCTGCAATAACCTCTTGCTTGTCCTTGCTTCCCCTCCTGCCCTTCCACAATCACTGGTGCAGCAGCCAAGGCGATCTTTTTAAAACAAATCAGACATTGTTACTTCCTTGCTTTAAGTCCTCTAGTGGCTTTCCATTGCACTTAGGGGGAAAAAAAGTCCAAACTTAACAGGAAATCTCAAGTTTTCATAGTGATAGTTGTTAAAGGAGAAATAATAAAAGATTTGAAAATAATGTATGAATCTTTTTAAAACTGAAGGAATAATTAACAATAACGCAGAAGAGGAGCATGCTTGCCTCTTCTGGAATTTGGAGAAGAATAGAAAACCTTCCTAAATGCCGGTCTCAGGGAAGTACAAGTTCACATACAGACTGAGGTTTGAATACTAGAATTCTGGAGCCATGTCTCAGGGGCAGGCTCAGGAGAGACGAGGTTTCCCTCATTACATCCCCAGCTTTGACCACATCCCAGGTTTAACCACGGACGCTCAGCCTTTATCTGTTTGCAGAGTTCCCCAGGGGAAGTCAATACCAACACAAATCCAAACCACAGCTGCATCAGATATTCAAGAATATCTGATATACACTAGATATTCAACTCTTCAAGAGGATGGATCGCCACCCAATCTGTGTGAAATGGGGATGCCCAATAGAATGAGAAACTGTTAGAGACGTCAAGACCATCATGTAGGGAAGATGGGCAGTATTTGTCATTCTCTGAGGGGCAGAATCTTCATTGAAACCCCAAATGCCATCAGCTGGGCTATGCTGTCAGCTGTGTGTTCTGGGTTCTTTCATGCAGGTTTATTTTTCCTGCCTTCCAACTACTGTCTTGTAAATTCTCTTTACTGTTCTCCAGCCCAGACGGTTTTTATAATCTAACCTCTGACCCTGACCCAGAGGCTGAGTTGTGTTTTCACACCTGCATTCTTCGTCTTTGATAAGGTTGGATTATTTCTCTGTTTGTTTTGCCTTTAAGCAGATGGGTTGCAACATTTAAAAATTATAGTTAAAATTAAACCCTGTATTCCCAGCTGCTCTCTGGCAATCAGCCATTTTGACAACACAGAGCCCACAAGGGTGAAGGAAGGTGAGTGACCACCTCCGTTGGGTGGCCCCACCCTCCCGGGGCTGTGCTCTCTGGTTTGCTCTGCAACCCCCACCCCTGAATTGTCTCCCTGACACCAAGACTAAGGGTCAGTTGTCCATTACCAACATGCATGTATAGTTGGTTTCTCTTATTTTGACCCATGTTACTTACTCACTTACCCTTGGGACCCCAATTCTACTCTTTGCTTCTTCGCTCACTAGCTGGAATCTAATTTCTTGCCCTGTGATGTTTCCTGTCACTCATGACCCTGCCGCTGAGCATGTGAATTGTCTGGGTGAACTGTTGGCAGAGGACGCAGCTTGGTGATATAACTCCGTCTGCCTCCAGAAGGCTTGGCTGGGAGCTTCTCTTGGAGTCTGGAGTTGGCCATTGGCTACATGTTTTAGGCATATTAACTCATATTGCAGCTAAAGGCTTATAAACTTTTTAAAAAGTCACATTTGATGTCTTCCTGGCTCCCCATAGCCAATCGGTAGCCAATTCTTGGTTTTATATCATCTTCAGGTTTTGTTACTACCTGCCTGGATTCTTGCAGTAGCTTCTTAACTGGTCTAGCTTTAGTTACTGTGTTCGAACACATTCAAACACAGTTATCTTTCTGAGTTAGATTTAATTATATCCTGCGCCACAACTACCCAAATAGACATCATCAGTAAATACACTTAGAATGAATACACGTGGAATCACATTCGGAGTTAGCCTAACATTCGATACCCACCGAAATCCTTCTTCAGCCTGTTTTCCATCTTTTCTTTCACTGCATGAAGCACACACCCTGATAGCCGTCTCCACACCTGAGCTCTCTCACCTCCAAGCTGTTGCTCAGGTTTTTAAAGACCTATCCATTGTCTGTTTCCTCAAATTCTTGCTCTCTGTGACACCTTTTCAGATCCTTTCAGATTAAACTGATCTATTCTTCTGTTCTCTTGGGATGTTCTCCCCAGCTCTTATCAGAATCTGCCTTGAGCTATATAGTTACTCATGTTTTTCTCTTGCCCTAGATTTGAGTCTATGGTGGGTAGGGACCATTACTTGCCCATCCCTTTATTTCCTGCACCCAGCGGAGAGGTTAGTTCAAGCTGAATTAAACAAGTAGAAAATCCATTTCTTCAAACAACTTGACGACTTGTCCTTGAAGACCTGGGGCTCAATGGGACCCTCGAGGAGAATTTTAGGCCTCTTCCCCTCTGTCCCCCTCCCCCCCCCACAAAGAAAATTAGTTTGCTCATTTTCAGGGAGCAGTTTATAGGTGTGACATTTTAGAAAATATTTATTAGGAAGTGTACTATATTACCTATACTAATTCTAACAATAATGAAACAATCAGACAAATTCAGAATGTGGGATATTCTGAAAGACGATGGGCTTGGACTATAAAAAAGAGTTAATGATACAAAAAGCCAACCAATCAACCAAAATGACAAGGAGAGTGTTCTATATTTTAAAAAATACATAACCAGGGAGAATACTCGAACATCCATTGGATCCTTGATCAGAAAAGAAAAAGTCATAAAAGATATTTTGGGGACAGAGGTAGAAATTATATTTAAGCTATTAGTATTAAATCAGTGTTGCATTTCTTGGGTATAATAATGATAATAATGAATATGTGGGATGATGTTCTTATTCATGAGGAGACAGAATTATTTCTGAGTGAAATGTCAGGATGCCAGCACCTTATTTTCAAATGCTGTTTGATATATAAATATGCTAATGAAGCATATTTATATATCAAAAAAGAAAAGCAAAACTGGGAAAATATTAGTACTTAATTAATCTAGATAAGGAGTCTATGAGTATTTCATGGTACCATTCTTACCGTTTTCTATAGGTTAAAAACTTTTTCAAAATACACTGGGGAAAAAGAAAAGAAAGGGGCTGAAAGAATTGGTTTAATTTCCTAATTATATTTTTTAGGCTATCACTAAATACATCAATAGCTATGCAGTGAAAACAAAACATTTATTTGGCTTTATACTGAGGAGTGAAAATAGTTGATAGTGAAATGTAAACTTGGTTGTAAGAATAATTACATCAAAGATGCAGTTTTATAGCTCATTAGAGGGACATCTTTTACTGCATGGTTTATACTTTTCAGGGAAAATAAACTCTGAGGGACATAAAAGTGTATATCAAGGAACCTAAGTTTTCACTCTGAGTAAATTTGAAAATATTTAATAAATCCTAATTTTTCATCATCACAGGCCTGTTTAAATTATCTGCTATTCTAGGTATCTACCAAAAGTAATTATATTAATCTGACCCTTTCTCTAGGTGGGAAAAAAACCCCAGCCCTGTACCTTTGCTTGGTTGTAACTAAATAAATCGATCCAGCTGATAGAGGGCAAGACATCAATGCATCCGTGTAGAAAGACAAACCGGAGATAAGGCTGTATTTATTGCCTGTGTATGTAATTACATGTCACTAGGGACAAAGGTCCTTAAAACAAAGACAAAAAGCAGAGAAGAAACATTTCCCCACAGTGAGATGATGAATTTGCTACTACTTCCCGCTTCATGATTTTTGTTTGCTGTGTGGCCGCCTGTCCTTCTGGTTTTAATCATCAGTTTGAGAACTTCACCATTTTTCTGGGCACGATTCGATGCCTGAAGATCAACCTCAGTCCAACAAAAAGAAAACGAAGATTTTTCAAGAGTACTCCTAGCTCGGAGCCGCGGGGCCAGGCCAGACTCCCGGACCTCCGGTAGCCCCATTCGGGGAGGGCGGCTCCCTGGGACGGCTGGGCGTGGATGTGGGCGTGGAGGGCGAAAACAGGGCCTTGCGGCGGTTTTTTTTTTTTTTAATTTTATTTAGTTACTTTTCAAGTACATTTTTTTCCCTCCCCCCCCCCGCCCGGTCTCCCCCCTCCCTCCCATTCCCCCCCCCCACCCCCAGTCCTCATCTCTGGGGAGACGCCAGCTTCCAACACGGAGCTCCTGCTCCTGAGAAGTGGCCCCGCTCGCCCTTCTGCTTCACCCTTCTACAACCCGCTCAGACTTGGTCTGGGAGGAAATGCTACCGTATTTGCCGCCCTAAAATTGAAGTGGAGGTTTATTTGCTGTGTTTCTGGCAAACAAGAAAAAGTCAAATGGTATATATAGGTAGTGATTTTTTTAAAAGCACTGTATTTCCATCTTATACTTTAGTTTAAAAAAAAATCAACATCAAGGGGCAGTGTATCTGTTACTAGTATTTGTCTCTGTTCTGTGCTATATCTTATTGCTTCCAATTTCTTCAAAAATTACAGATGTCTTCTGTTGAAACTTATTGACTATAGCATAGAAAAAATGTAAACATTTACTTAAGACGGTTTTTCTCTTAGTATAATTACATATAAAACCTCCTAAAAGATCCCTCATTCCCATGTTTGTTTTTCATAGCAATTTAAAAATGTGTAACTGCATAAGGGTTTGTTTTTGAAGTTAAATATCTTTTTCCGCGAGGGAGAGGCGTGCTGTAGGACGTGGTTGGACTGATTGTATTCCTTCTAACACCCTAGAATGGCAGTAAAGCTTCTCCTATTTAGTTGGGTTGGTATCCTAACAGTGGGTCTCTTGAAAATGTCAGTGAGGACTTGCCATCTGGTGACACCTCCGTGTGCCCTTGGGACACTGCACCTCAGAGTGGCTTTAGTTTCTTACCAGTCAGCGGTACTCAGACCTCTCTGAGAAGGGGGATGTGGCCACAGTGTTTACACCTTTCCAGGTCTTTCCTGGGGGGTGCGGGGGGAGAGTGTGAGAGGCACTGAGGGCAGACCTGTCATTCACAGAACACAGTGGACAGTCAGCAGCATATGGGAAAAGTGCTTTCAGAATTTCTAGTGATTAGTAAAAGTGTCTGACAAATACTGGAAGTTTAAACGTCGAACAGAATTGCCTGGAGGCCAAGCGGTGATGAATACAGAAGGGTAGTCATACCGAGGAAATAGCAAGATGCTAGGCCGCTCACAGGAGGAGTCAACATAACACAGTATTTCTTGGTCTCGGCTCGGGTTCTGCCAGAGGGGCAAGAAGAAATGTAAGACCAAGAGCTGACTGCGTTATCTCAGCCCTGCCATCCATCCCATCAAGTATTCTGTCTCTGACAGCGCCCAAGCCACCTGGGGCATCGTGCCTGCCGTGCAGAAGGTACACTTGTGTTGCGAGGTTGTTCCTGCCTGATTTTACATCCCCTGCAGCTTTCGTTCCAGTGAGAGATAACCAAGTGTTAAGTGAGCTACAGTTAGGTCTGCTTTATTTTAGGGAGACCACCAGTTCACTGTGCAAATGCAAAACGTCAACCTGATTTCTCTCCAGATCTGGAGGAGACTTGAAAAGTCTGGTCTGGTCTACCTTCTTTTTTGTGGAAGTCCTATTATACCTAGGATCTTATACTGTCCTTGTTTGTACTATTTTCAGAAGTTGCTGAGGATATAGTTCCCATAAGTTGTTACAATACCTGATTATTATAATAGTATCTTTCTTAGCCTAAACCAAACTCTGTTACTCCATGAAGAATTTTTCATGAGTGTGGGCAGTCATTTCTTCATGGAAAGAGAATAAAATAGTCAGTGCTTTTCTTATATTATCTTTGGGTAAATAGATGGAAAAAACTGAAAACTTTGGTAATAAAAATAGAAACACTAGCATGATTCCCCCCCAACCTGAAAATCATACTAGTTGTCAATTTTTTTATTACTTACTATTCAGCAAATATTAATCCTCTACTCTGTGCCAAGTCCAAAAATCACCTTATTGAAGTTTTTTCTTTAGCTTATAATGATTTTCTTTTTAAAATATTGCTTATGATGAAGACAACAAAACTAGATATCACATTCTGATGAGGGAGGGGGACCAGTGTGCGTGTTATGCTCCTATTGATATGTCAGTTTCTTTTTTAAAGGTTTTATTTTTTTTAGAGAGAGGGGAAGGGAAGGAGAAAGAGAGAGAGAGAGACTTCAATGTGTGGTTGCCTCTCATGTGCCTCCTACTGGGGACCTGGCCCACGACCCAGGCACGTGTCCTGACTCAGAATTGAACCAGGCAGGTTGATATGTCAGGTTGGAATTCAATGCAAATTTGTGTAATGAATCAAGGTCTGAAAATCAAGAAAAGTTTTGACAATTTGTTACCCACTTGAAAGTTGTTTTTCTTCATTTCCTCAGACTTTTTGTTCTAAGAAACCAAACCCAACATAATGTATTTTTTTCCTTATGAACACTTTTATATAAAAATTATCTGGATTGGCAATACTGTCTTGAATTAAGTGGCCTTAAGTGTCGAAACCACTGAGATCTTAATTTTTATTTTAAAGTTTTAAATATAACCTTACATTCTTAATTTGCCTTCTTTTGGGCATTTCTTTTAGACTACTTTGATATTTGAGGACTCATCTTTTATTCCCAAGCTTTTTAGAATAGTTTAAAAACCGACTTGAGAAAACTATTTTGTTATTCATTATATTCAATCTTTCTGAATTGGTGAGAAGCTATTTAGCTTATTTTCTTAGAAATGTCCTGAAGTGAGTCTTCAAATGCTTGTGGACTGATCATAAAAGCAGAAGAGGAGATTCCTGCCCTGACTGAGCGGACTGGGAGAAAGCGCACACTAAGGGCAGACCATGGGGAAAGGCACAAGAGGGTGACTGGCCGACTGAAACTCTGGCCCACTCGTTGAAGCTGGGGTCGGGGTGAGTAGCTCCTAGGACCAGAAGCTGTGGACAGGCAGGAACCGCCTGGCAGCTCCTGAGATCTAAAGAGGAGGAAAGTCCATTCAGGAAGCTGTTATTAAACAGGCTTCACACATTTTCTGCCCCTGTCTCTCTGCTTAAAATTCAAATTTCCAGGTAGCTATTATTAAAAGGTGGTAGGGATACAGGACAGGCAAAAACATCCATTGCCCACGAGCTGTACAGGCATAGCGTGGAGGGGCCAGGTGTTTAGAAAAATGGCATTACAGAAGGCTCAGCGCAGAAAAGCAGGGACTGAACGAGGTGCCCGGCCCAGGTGGGATGGCTCTAGAAAGGCTTCGAGGGCGGGCAGGCAGGACTGTGGCGCAGAAGAGGTGCAGCTTGGGAAAGTGCCTGTGTGGTGTCTGTGCGCAGTAGCCACTCAATAATATTTATAGGATAAATGAATAAAAGAACTGTGCAAAAGACCATTCTGTGCAACAAATAGTAAACTTGAGCTCTAGCTTCAGAGAACCCAGTAAGTTCAAATATAGGAAGAAGGAAAACTTGCCCAGTAGCAGAAAGGTCCAGTGAATAGAACAAAAAGGCCTTTGAGACAAAGTCTTGCCAGTTTGTGGAAAGCCTCAGCTTTCAGTGTTACCAGAGATAAAATAGTAAATGTCCTCAGTGGGCCAGTGGGCTCTGTATAGTATTTCTCCAAGAGGGGAGCCAGCTCTGACTGGTTGACGTTTCTGAATCCCTGTGAGAACAGGAGGCTCTGAACAGTGGAGCGGTACCAGGACTGGCCATGGGCAAGACTGTCCTGTGGGCGAAGGATAGCTTTGGCTTCAGATCAGTCTCTAAATTCTTTGTCTTTCCTTCCCCTGGGACCAGCACTTTCTCACCCTCTCAGACGACCAGCCCCTCCTGTCCCAGGAAAACCTGAGCTTGCACAGAAGTTACAAGTAGCGAATGATCTCCCACCTTCCATTTCTGTAGAGTCTTGTATGCCATGCGCTCTCATAGGACACAAGCTGTTTTGATCAATTGAGTGAAGAAAGGTTACCTTCTCTAAGGGTAGGTTCAGTTGATCTCTAATGGTGGAATTTTATTTTTATTTTTTTGATTAAGTAGTAGTTTATTTAACATTCAGTGTGGCCCCAAATTGGCCAAGACTAAGTCAGAAAACATTTTAGCCAGAAGACTTAAATCGACAAACATGAGCCCTGGGTGGTGTGGCCCAGTGGATTGAGCGCCGGTGTGCAAACCAAAGGGTCACCAGTTCAATTCCCTGTCAGGGCACATGCCTGAGTTGCAGGCCAGGTTCCCAGTTGGGACCGTGTTAGAGGCAACCTGTTGATGTATCTCTCCTAATGTTTCTCTCCCTTCCATCCCCTCTCTCTAAAGTAAATAAAATCTTTTTAAAAAAATCAAAATAAGACAAGCACAACAAACTGGCAGCATTATCTAGGCAACTCTCTGGCACCGTGGTTTGATAATTTAAATTTTTATTCTATTATTCGTATCTTCATACGTCATGCCAAATGCTATCTGATGGTGGAATTTTAGACATGTTGCAGCCTAGCATCTCTGACATGATCTCACAGAGGCAGGGACTCCGTGTTTATCACTGAGGCTGCTTCCGTTCCTGTGTGCAGACAGCATTGACTTTTCCAGGAGACGAGAGCACAGACATGCCAAGGACAAGAAAAAGCTGCCACATCATGCAAGCGGTTTGGGATCATCCAAACATTTCTGTCTGATGTCGACAGGTGGTTAGAAACCATGTCGCCATGGTGTGAAGCATCCCCGACAAAGAGGTGCAGGCTTGGTGCCGCCGAGACGCAATCCCTTTCCTTCCTTCATGCTGGGACCCGGAGGGGAAGGGATTTAATTAGAATGTACCATGTGCCGTAACTAGGTCAGAGCCAGTCCCCGTCACCTGCACACACCTTGCATGGAGACCCGCCAGGGTTATCCCATCTCTAGGGGATCCTGGCACGGCATCACCTAAACAGACCCTCCCAAGAGGAGGTGCCACCACCTTCTTTGGGGTTA